GGGAGTTCTGAGATCCACCGAGCTCAGGCTCCCCTCTTGCTCTGCCAACGGGGGGAAGCCCCGGGCTCGAGGAGCCCTTGAGCTCGGGGCTCTCTCCCGGGACAGCATGCCAAACAAGCTTTTGTAAATAATCAGCTAAGTGTAAACTCTTGAAGTGAAGTTTATTCATAAACTAATTTCGAGAGGATTACGTGCTTATGATTTATCACGGCCAGTCTCGCATTTGCTTATCACTATCTTCCAATCATATGAGCCCTAAGCTACTATAAATAGCCACAGTTTTCAGTTCACTTTATCTTCGTTTGGAAGAAACCCCCCTCCTCCCCTATTCTCCTTCTTTACCTGTGATTGGGCGGCACGGCGGCCCAGTGGTTAGCACTGTGAGCCACACAGCAAGAACACTGCCGGCCCGGGTTCCACAGGACCGGTGGGTGTTTCTGTGAGGAGTTTGTATGTCCTCCCCGTGTCCGCGTGGGTTTTCCCCGGGTTCTCCGGTTTCCTCCCACCATCCAAAGACATTCAACATACATAACAATCAAGCTTGTCTAATCCCTTGCGTTCCCTTAGCTACAGTGGCAGGGGAGTTCTGAGATCCACCGAGCTCAGGCTCCCCTCTTGCTCTGCCAACGGGAGGAAGCCCCGGGCTCGAGGAGCCCTTGAGCTCGGGGCTCTCTCCCTGGACAGCATGCCAAACAAGCTTTTGTAAATCATCAGCTAAGTGTGAACTCTTGAAATATTCTAAAAAGAAAAATATTTTCCATTGTGATGAATATATATATATATATATATATATATATATATATATATCAATTATTGACAGAATAAAATGTATTGTTTTTGGTAAATTTTGACAGCTGTTTGGGGGATTATTTTATGAGGCCAAACTCTTTCTATTTTGCTGTAGGCCTATACTGAAAGGCTGAATACATTAAAGCCAATAACCACTATAGCCTGACGGATGAACAAATAAAATTAAAACCTTATTAATAAATAGTATATCTCGCAAGATACTGCATGATCCAAAAATAGTTTTATTTAATACATTTTTAAGTTGTCATTACATTTTAGGCATGAAATCCACGCTAAATCCACCCTTCTGATGGGATCAGTTTAATCCAGGTTTTTTGGATCAAAGTGATCCAGATCCTACAAAAAAAGGTCTGAAAAACCCAAACTAAAGGTTTGATCTGGATCAAAACCAAGATTGGATTACGTGATCTAATCCGATTAGGTAATCCGTTTTTTTCTTTTGAAAAACCCATTTTCAAGATTTGATCCAATCCCTTATCCAAAATCCTAGTGGATTACTTTTGAAAAACCGGGCCCAGGGCCCGGTTTTTCAAAAGGTTTAATCCGGATCAAATTGATCCAGATTTAGTAATTCTGTTTTTTGCGATCCGTGATCAGGTAATCCAGCTTACTTTTTGAGCCAGTTTTTCAAAGCAACATTGGATTGGACCAATCTGATCTGGATAGGAACTTTTCAGGATCACTAAATCTGGATTACCAGTGCTCAAACAGGATAGGAAATGACAAGTAGAATAGCCAGCGTGGGGTCAATATAATTTTTTTTTTTTTTTTTAAATAATAACTAAGAAAATGTAATAAATATTAAATTAATAATAATAATAAATAAGAAAAACAAGAAAAAGCCCACCCCATCCTTTTCCAGCAGTCCGCTCATCTGAGACCTACAACACAAACACTGTACATTGAGGATATGTATAATAAGTTTCAAATATAGATGTAAATTTAAAAAATACTTAATGTCAAAAACTCCACAATAATCTCAGACTTCCTCATCTGATGTGAAGCGTATCCTTTTGGTGGGGGATCTCAAGTCTGGCCTTGGTTTGCTGCAGTTTGGTCAGAGTCAGTTGTTCCTCTGCCAGGCGAAGCTGTGCTTCTGCCCTTTCAGTCTCTTTTTGCAATTGTTGAAAGAGATTTCTAAAATCAGTCATTGCCATTTCTTGCATTTTTTGTTTATTCTGTAATCATTGCTATCATCATTAATAAATATTCTAATAAGAAAAATATTTTCCATTGTGATGAATACATATATATATATATATCAATTAGTGACAGAATAAAATTGATTGTTTTTGGTCAGTTTTGATAGCTGTTTGGGGGATTATTTTATGAGGCCAAACTCTTTCTACTTTGCTGGAAGCCTATACAGAAAGGCTAAATACGTTAAAGCCAATAATCACTATAGCCTGACAGATGAACAAATAAAATTAAAACCTTATGAATAAATAGTATATCTCGTAAGATACTGCATGATCCAAAAATAGTATTGTTTAATAAATTTTTTAAGTTTTCATTACATTTTAGGCATGAAATCCACGCTAAATCCACCCTTCTGATGGGATCAGTTTAATCCATGTTTTTTGGATCAAAGTGATCCAGATCTTACTAAAAAGGTCCGAAAAACCCAAACTAAAGGTTTGATCCGGATCAAAACCAAGATTGGATTACGTGATCTAATCCGAGTAATCCGTTTTTTCTTTTGAAAAACCCATTTTCAAGATTTGATCCAATTCCTTATCCAAAATCCTAGTGGATTACTTTTGAAAAACCGGGCCCAGGGCCCGGTTTTTCAAAAGGTTTAATCCGGATCAAATTGATCTGGATTTAGTAATCCTGATTTTGCGATCCGTGATCACGTAATCCAGCTTACTTTTTGAGCCAGTTTTTCAAAGCAACATCGGATTGGATCAATGTGATCCGATTAGGAACTTTTCAGGATCACTAAATCTGGATTACCAGTGCTCAATCACAATGTAGATAAATAGATAGGCCTGTGTAAAGAGCAACAAGTAGAATAGCCAGTGTTGGGTCAATATAACTTTATTTTTATTTGAAATGAAAACTAAGAAAATTTAATAAATAATAAAATAATAATAATAAATGATAAAAACAAGAAAAACCCCACCCCATCCTCTTCCAGCAGTCCGCTCATCTGAGACCTACAACACTGTACATTGAGGATATTTATAATGAGTTTCAAATATAGATGTAAATAAAAAAAGACTTAATGTCAAAAACTCCACAATAGTTTCAGACTTCCTCATCTGATGTGGAGAGAGCAGCTTGTCTGAGCATAGCCTTTAGGAGGCGGATCTGAAGTCTTGCCTTGGTTTGCTGCAGTTTGGTAAGAGTCAGTTGTTCCTCTGCCAGATGAAGCTGTGCTTCCGCCCTTTCAGTCTCTTTTTGCAATTGTTGAAAGAGATTTCTAAAATCAGTCATTGCCATTCTTTGCACTTTTTTTTTTTGTGGTTATTCTGTAATTATTGCATGCATCACTAATAAATATTCTAAAAACAAAAATATTTTCCATTGTGATGAATATAGATATCAATTATTGACAATAAAATGTATTGTTTTTGGTCAATTTTGACAGATGTTTGGGGGATTATTTTATGAGGCCAAGCTATTTCTACTTTGCTGTAGGCCTATACTGAATGGCTGAATACGTTAAAGCCAATAATCACTACAGGCTGATGGATGAACAAATAAAATTAAAACCTTATGAATAAATAGTATATCTCGTAAGATCCAAAAATACTGTGTGATCCAAAAATAGTATTATTTAATAACATTTTTAAGTTTTTATTACATTTTGGGCATGAAATCCACACTAAATCCACCTTTCTGATGGGATCAGTTTAATCCAGTTTTTTTGGATCAAAGTGATCCAAATCCTACAAAAAAGGTCTGAAAAACCCAAAGTAAGTAAGTTGATCCGGATCAAAACCAAGATTAGATTACGTGATCTAATCCGATTAGGTAATCTGTTTTTTCTTTTAAAAAACCCATTTTCAAGATTTGATCCAATCCCTTATCCAAAATCCTAGTGGATTACTTTTGAAAAACCGGGCCCTGGAGATTGTGAAATCCGGATTTGCTGCTCGGATTTGCTTTCACATGGCATTGCCATTTTCACAATTTTTTAAAAAATTTATTTATTTATTTTTTTGTATTTGCACAGAAAATAAAAAATTTAAATTTTTTTTTAAAATTTGCAATTTCAAGCCCACATATTGTCATTGTTTAAGTATTAATGTCCAAAAACTGTAAACATGATATAAACATATCTAGATGTATTATGTTTGAATTGACCTATGCACAGTTATTCAACTTGCGAAGGGAAAAAAAACAAACGTTTTTGTGTGTGTTTGAAAAACATCTGCTTATAAGGTGGCATGGAGGCTCAGTGGTTAGCACTGTTGCTGCACAGCAAGGTGGTCGCTGGCTTCCTAGCGGGACCAAGCTGGGTCACTTGGCGTTTCTTTGTGGAGTTTGCATGTTCTCTCTATGTTCATGTGGGTTTCCTCCGGGTGCTCCAGTTTCCACCACAGTACAGGTAGGGGAAACTGAATTGAAGAAGCCACAGTCTAAATTAGCCATAGTGTATGTGTGTGAATGTGAGTGTATAGGAGTTTACTTGGTTGTGACTGGAAGGACATCTGCTGTGTAAAACATATACTGGATAAGTTAGCAGATCTTTCCGCTGTGGCAACCCCTGATTAATAAAGGGACTAAGCCGAAGGAAAATGAATGAATGAATAATTATCTATAAATCAAGTCATCAAGTAGCCATATAGATTTGCACTGCCTACCCAAATTTAGCCTTCTTTTGGCCAGACGTTTAGAGTCTATTAGACAGCATTTAAACGTCTCATTGCTTGGTGAGATGTCTGAAGAACAAATACATGTGGCAGGGAAGTGTCTGTTATTTTAAATATTCATTTTCAGAGTGGAAATGTGATGTCATTTTACAGCTTAAAATGATGTTTATCATCAGCTGTTTTGTGTTGGTGACTTTTTTGACACGTTTATTGTGTCAATATGCAGCCTCTAGTCATCTTTTTAACTGTAAGAATAGCATGACACAAGAAATGCATTGCATACTTATCATACATGACAGAAACAAGATTCACAGTACTATGTAAATATGTGCTCTCCTAGTTTTTGTCAAATAATACTCTTCACAAGAGTTCAATTAATGCATATGTTTTATTGTTTGTTTTGAGAGGAGCCACCTCCTGCTCAAGATTTCCTGCCTCAAACAGCCTGAAACGTTCCTCTCAAGACAATAACATGTAGGGTGGCTGTTCTTCAGTTCTCCAGGTTGGTGTCCTAAAATAAAAACAGCAATTAGTTTATCAAAAGTCAATCCAAATCTAATATTCTCTAAGCTAACATCCATAGTCTTGTGTTTGAATTAACCCTCCCAAAATACTCTGCTTAGGCTTCATACCTTGAACCATTCGTGGAGAAGAATCTCTTTTAATTGAATCCGCAGCTCTGGCTTTTGCTGGAGACAGCAACTAATCAACTGACAGCATTCTGTGAAAAACAGTTGAAACATCTGTTTACCTTGAACTTCACACCTCCTTTGATGTTGCATGTAAGAGTCTTTGAAATAAAGAGCTTACCATCGGACAAGCCAGCTTTGGAGAAGTTGTTCTCATTGATCATGTGCAGTTCTTGAGGGTTGGGAAAGTCCTCACACACCAATACAAACAAGAGGATGCCAAGGGACCAGACTGTTGCCGGCTTCCCATTGTATTCACCCGTTTCCTCAAACTCTGGGGGGCAGTACTCAAGGGTGCCTAAAGGTAAAAGATTTTTGCATCAATTAGCATTTGTTGCTATAAATTCAGAATATCGTTTTTCACAGCTTAAGGGTTAATACATACCGGCAAATGTATCGTAGGGTAATTTCTTGAGAAGGTCTCCACACCCAAAGTCTATTAATTTGACTTTATGAGTCTCCTTGTTGATTAGTAGATTTTCAAGTTTGATATCGCGATGTAGAACACCATTGCGGCAGCACATGTATGCAGCTTGAGTTGCCTGCTGCATAACAACACGCGCTAAACCTTCACTTATGGATCCTCCATAGCTTTCTGTGAAAGCATATAGGTCCTCACAGGGTGAAGGGTATTCCAACACCATTATATAATGGTCCTCCTGGTCCTGCCAGTCCAGAAGCTGGATTATTTCTGGAACGCTGGATACTCCATGGGCGAGGATGAGAAGTGCAACTTCAAGAGGAAAGGGCTCTGAATGACCTGACTACAGGAAATACATTTTTTATGATGTTTAGATAGATATATCTTCTATAGATTATGAATTGAATCATAATTTCACAAAATTTCGACAACAGTAGCTTGTCTTATGAGAAATCACTTACGATACGTATGTATTCCACATCTTCCGTCTTTGTGACAAATTTCACTGCCACCTAATAAACAAGAAATAAGCAAAGTGTATGTAAGAATGATTGTACAGCTAACATATTGCATTTGTTACTATTTATCCTATCCAGAAAAATGAAAGGCACCTTTAAGTCATCGTGTAGACGTCGCCCCTTGTACACAGTTCCAAAGGATCCTTCACCCAGCATGTCATCGATCAGATAGTGGCAAGAATTGATGACTATTAAAACAAAACCAAGGTTAAGTAATATGAAATATCAACCAGTGTAAAACAGGACAAAATGTTTTACTTAATCAGTGTACATTTTTTGAAAATGAGGTCTGAATGTTGAATAAATAAGCTTTAGTTTTACCTATTGCCAAAAATGTATAACTTAAGACTGGTTTTGTGGTCCAGGGTCACAAATGGAAACATTAAAATGGCCTGATATAGTATTGCAGGTGTGTGTGTGTGTGTGTGTGTGTGTGTGTGTGTGTGTGTGTGTGTGTGTGTGTGTGTGTGTGTGTGTGTGTGTGTGTGTGTGTGTGTGGTGTGTTTAAGGGACAGTCAACTTACCCTGACTTGTCATCTTTCCATTATTCTCTATTTGTTTTGAAACAGAGGCCTGTGTGCAGACTGGAGCTTGACCACCATTGATGCTCCAGTCTGACATTGTGTGCTGTGAAATCTGAGGGAAATTGGCACTCCCCTCGGAAGCATCGGGGACTGGAATCTCCGTGGCATTGTTACAACAATCAGAAGTGGATGAGTGAAATGGAGGCTGGGTGACATCAATACTCCAGACTGACACGTTGTGTATCGGAGTCCGGGTAGCGTCAGTACTAAAATCTGATGTGGTGCGTGTTGGAGTTTTGATCACATCAATGCTCCAATCTGACATGGTGTGTGCTGAAGTCTTAGTAAAATCATTGCTCCACCTTGATGTGGTGCGTGCTAGAGCCAGGCCATCACAATAGTCATGACTAAGCAATGGAGTCTGGCTGATGTCAAAGTTCCAGTTGAATGAAGTCTGAGCAGTATTGCTGCTCAGAACTGGAGAACGGAGGACATCAGGTTGAACAGTAAGATGTTTCTTTACTGTTGGATAGACTTCAGGGTCACTGGCTGAAGGTTCCTGAAGATTGAGGTCTACAGTATGAATGACCTGCTGTAGAGATCCGTCACCTGAAGAGGAGGAAGGTTGTACTTCAGGTGGTGCTGCAGTTGCCCCAGTGTCCTGAGCCTCTCCATCAACCTGAAGGGTACTATTTTTTTCAGCAGCTCTCAGACAGGAGAACCACCGCCACAACTTGAACCTTCTTTTCTTTTTACGGTTGGCCTCCTTTCTCTTTTTATTTTTCCCCTCACTCGCACTATCTTCACCTACGCCAACAGGATGTTTATGAGCTTCCACCAAATTGGTGAGCTGTGGCGGTGCATCGTGATGGTAAACGTGCACACGCTCAAAATCATTGTTTGCCTTTTTGCAACGACAATTACGTTGACCCATCGCTCAACTAGTTTAACCGCAGAATGCCAAAGTCAGAGTTGCATTCGCATTCTCTTAGCTATGATGTCACCGTTTCGAACATTCACATTCAATTCTAAATGTGACGCAGGCTGGGCGTTTCTGTGGAGCGTTTCTGTGGCCATTTGAAAGTGCCATATTGTTTTTGCATAAAGTATATGCCTTATAATCAATCAATAACTGATCACACATACTCATAGCCTGTATGCAAGCGGCTGCGCGGTAAACAGGCTAAACTTGTAAAACACCAGCGTTACGCCTTAATGAAATGAATTCTGCGTCAGTTTTACAACGAACTAAAAATCGAAATTAATTAAAATAAACAGTTGTAACAATAAAAATCATTGAAAAACATTTGTTTTTCACTATTTTACTTTTTTACTATTTTACTAAAAACCTATAGAAGACGAAACCTTCAAAAACTATACAAAAATAGGTAAAAACAAATAAATAAATAAGTTCATAAATAAATTCGTAAATACCTGCATAAATAAAACAATAAATAAATAAATTGCATATTGATTTGCTTTATTTATGCAGGAATTTGTGGATTTATTTACTCATTTATTGTTATATTAGCTTTTTTATTTATTTATAGTTTTATTTATGCATTAATTTATATTTTCCTATTTATTTATGCTTTGTTTTATTTACTTATTTATTTATATATTTTCGTTTTTATCCATTTTTATTTATGCAGACATTTATTTATTTATTTGTTTATTTGCGTATTTATTTATTTTATGCCTGCATTTATGGATTTATTTACTCATTTATTTATTTGCGTATTTATTTATTAATTATTTTATTTATACAGGAATTTATAGATTTCAATGCTTATTTATGTATATATGCGCGTATTTAGTTATTCTTTTTTTTGTTTGTTTTATTTTTGCAGAAATGTATTCTCCAATTTCTTTATATATTTGCGCATTTATTCATTTTTTATTTATGCATGAATTTATGCATTTATTTACTCTGTCTTTTATTTATTTGCGCATTTATTCATTTATTTATTTATTTTTGCCGGTTTCGTCCTTCGTATAAACTCAGCATTCTTTTGATTTTGGATGCATGCTTTTTTTTTTTCTATTGACATAATAATGTTGCTCCCTTTTTATTCATTCATTCTTTATTGTACTGCGTGCGTGTGTATATGTTTCACTGGTAGTGTTGAGGTTGACATTTTGTATGGGTAAATTCTTTAATGAATGTATAAATGAATGGTTTGACTCGACCCTAATAAGTATGGCTGATATTTTAATCCTCATGCTTAAAATATCATCAGTGACTTTCACTTCTATTTTTTGATGGGCTACATGTTTATATACAGTATATTGCTAAATTGTTTATGTCCATTCCCACATTGACACATTTATATTCTAGCAATCTCGTATTTTACTATTGTCTAGACAAACTTTTTTTTTTATTTATTTTTTTATTTAAACTTCAAATAACAAACAGGCATTTTCAACTTCCATCGTTAAACATATATAACATTATAACCAAGCAGCATATAATAAACAAAACAGTACAAATTAATAATAACATAAAAATAAACCTTAAATAATACAAAAGAAAATACATTACAATCAGAGGGTCAGTCCATATATGTTGACAAAAGCTTAGAGAGCTTTAAGGCACCTTTTGTTTTTACTTGTTTTATAGATTTATATGACATATTGAAATCATTTTTAAATGCTTTGAAACAAGAAGAAACTTTAACAAATCTACATTTGTGTACATAAAATTTTGCTACAATCGACATATTATTACATAGAAATTCAACTTCCTTGTTTTTCATAAAAATGCCAAATTTCACAATGTGATAGTCAAACGCAGGTGTTACATTTTTAGTTATCAACCACTAATACAATCTGTCCCAAAAGGATTTGACACTGGAACAACTATAAAAAAAGATGTTCCTGTGATTCTATATCTTTCAAGCAAAAAAATACAAGCATTACTGTCTAAATGAAATCTTATTCTAAGAAATTCGTTACATGGATAGATGTCATTAATTGTTTTGAAATGTACTTCTTTCATTTTAGGTAACAAGGGAAATGACAGGTATCTTTTTCTAATATCAATAGTGTCCGCTTTAGAAGATCTCTCAGATAAAACTATTCTTTTAACAGGAAGAGGAAAATATTCTTTTGTCAGTAGTGATCTCAAGACCTTGTTGTTACATTTAATATCCCAAAATGAATAATTATTTATAAACAAATCAACTAGTGTAGGTATTACAGAGGAGTATTGCACTATACCTTTAACTAAATTTCTCAAAGCTACAGGAATAGCTTTGACAACCAAAGAGAATTCTCTATGTGCACAATTACAATTGAATTTTAACTTAAAATGATCATAGCTCAACATATTACCATAATCATCCATTAAATGAATTACATTCCAAATTCCTTTGTCAAACCAGTCTTTAAAAAATAAAGATTTCCTCTCATGTAGAATACACCTGTTATTCCAAATGATAACATTATGTGGAGTAAAATTGTGCTTGTACAACATTTTCCAATATAGTAACACTTGCGCATGAAAACCAGACAATTTAAATGGCAATTTTAGTAAGTCAAAATCACATTTTAGAAAAAAAGAAATTCCTCCCATCCTTTGAAAAATATGAAAAGGGATGCTAAACCATAAAGACGGTTCATCTTTAACAAAGCTTTGTAACCATTTTAACTTCATTACTCCATTTATAACGCCAAAATCAATAACATTCAACCCCCCTTCCTCTGATAACTTTACCAAATCATTTTTTCAAAATAAATGTTGCTTATTGTTCCAAAATAAACTCATAATGAACTCTGTTAATTTGTTTAATACATCTTTCTGTTACACCTAAGCAATATGCTGGATAGATTAATCTTGATATTGCTTCCATTTTTGTTAATAATATTCTCCCAAAAAATTAAATATTTCTTTGTAACCAGCTACTTAATGTTTTTTTATTTTTCTGTACAACAGTATGAATATTATTATTTTCCCTGTCCCTAAATTTTTTTGTAATAGTTATTTCCAAGTGTGTTATTTAGCTTTTAATTGGGATATTATACAATGAATTTTATGTATTATTGTGAAGAATTAGAATCTCACATTTTTTCAAATTTAAATGTAACCCTGAAGCATTAGAAAACAATGATATAGACTTTAAGGCAATCGGTATTTGATTAGAGTCCTTCAGAAATCAAGTTGTCAGCTAGTTGTGCAATTAACAAGGATCTACTCAGAACATTTAATGGCTTAATATTGTCGTTATTTTTAATATACAGTGCTAATAATTCAGCAGCAAGTAAGAAAGAAGGGGGCTGACTGGATCTCTCTGTCGTATTCCCCTTCTGATATCAAATCTCTTTGTAGTACCCGATTGAAGTAAAACAGCACTTGTTATTTGTTATATTGTCAACATTGAAAGAATATTAATAAATTTTGTCCCAAACCCAAAATATTGTTGAGACTGAAAAACAAAAGGGTGTTCAAGTATATCAAAAGCTTTTAGAAAATCCAGAAATAGTATTATACCATCATCCTCTATCAAATGTGAACAGTCTAATAAATCTAACACCATGCAAATGTTATTATGTATTAGTCGATTTAGAAGAAACCCAGATTGTGTATCACTAATAATTTTACCTATACCACCTTTAAGTCTACTAGCTAATGCATGAGTGAATATTTCGTAATCAATGTTAAGTAAAGTAATTGGTCTTAAATTATCAATAAGAGTGTTGTCTTTTTTTGTTTAGGTATTAAAATAATTATAGCCTGTTTCATTGTAGTTAGTAGTGTATTACTTTCTAAACATTCTTTTAGTGCTTTAAAGAGCATTTCTCTCATATCATTCCAGAAAAAAGATAAAAGTTAGTTGCAAGTCCATCTTGACCTGGTGATTTACCTAAAGCCATTTTTTTAATAGCAGCATCAAGTTCTTCAATTTTTAAATCAG